TATTGACTACGCATTAACAAAAAAACCCAAGTATGCGTTGGATGGATTACATATACTCGGGAAAATAAATAAAGCTTGAAGTCAGTTCCCTCATAAAACAATAAAATGCGTCTTACAATAATATATTCCCACTTTATGCACATGAGGGACTCCAGTTGACAGGCATCATCAATATCATAATAATGGACACATGGAGTAAACATGTTTAAAATTTTTCACTAAAACAAAATATATATAAGGGAAGATAATGAAATATTGATTGTAAGTACACTCTGCATAAGTTAAAACAGTTTATATGGTATAATCTTAGGCACAATTATTGTTTGAATTGGTTGAACATGAGCGTAACAACTGAGTGTTGCGTTACATTCGGTCGATATGTTGGGCTAGTCACGAAAAGTATAAAAATGGCTAATAAAACGTTACTTAGTTTACCGTAAACGATGTTTTAAGCAATATAATCTGCAAAAGGCTCACCACAGCAGTTATTATCCAGTTAAACATCCAGAGAAGTAATCATAATCCAGCAACTGGTGAATTTTTTATTCTTTTCGGTCTGGAACCTGAGTAACTGCGAATCAATCCATACAAAAATGTCGAAAGAGGCATGAAGGAGCAGAATTTTGCTATCGAATGAGTCATTTGGATCTGAAATGCAGCTATCAGCATATTTTCGTCATTTCATAGATATCCAGATTTATTGACGCTGTATAGGTAGTGATTTGGATTTGTCATCATGATCGACATATGGATGAATATTAAAATACGTACTACAACTTGTTTGCCTTTCGGATTCAGTTAATTACATCACGTGTTGGGGGAGGTTAAAATCACCACAAATTATTTTGTAGTCGAATTCCAGGGTAGGTACATGCTCTAGTATTTCTGCGATAACCGTATCAGTCCTTTTAGGGCTGCTGGGGGCTCTGTATATACATCCCAATAGAATTTTATTTTCATTCGTGTGGATGCTTATCCACTTAGATTCTGGGAGTTTGTCGATAAATAGGTTTGTAAAAGTATTGGGGTCAGTAGATTTAGAAGCATACATTAGACAGCCGCCTCCTCTTTTGTCCACTCTATCATTCCTGTGGATGTCATAGTTATCAATTATCAGCTTTGTGTCAGGTATATCATTAGTTAGCCAAGTTTCAGTTACCAGGATCAGTGTTGGCCGTTCCATGTATACCAAGCTGCGAAGGGAAGTTATTTTGTTAAGGAGAGATCGAGCATTTAAGAGCATAATTTTTAGAAAACCAGTTTTCTTGGGAGGGTAATTAGTGGGTTTTCTTGTTACTATCCCTAACTCCTGGTTGCCTATGTTATGTTCGGAGAGATTCTCATATGAGACATTGTCAGCGTGTCTACTATTCCCTGAACAAACTGTGTTGCAAGAGGGGCTATTGTTTGCTGCAACCGAAAATAATCCTGTTGCATGTATTGGTTTCTGGCCTCATTACGTGGGTATCTGGAATTATTCCTCGACATTAGATAATCTGTTTCACTATTCAGATTGTTATTTACAGGGCCGAAATAACCTGTTTCTAGGTTGTTTTGAGGGTAATGCGTGCCAAGTCTTTCGCAGTTGTACATTTGTGGACTCATTTCGTTCATGTACATAGAAGGACGGTGAGTCAATCTATACCCGTTATGCCGATGGGGCTTTACGTAGCTACTACGAGGGTTCGAGTATGCATTTCCGTCCATATGGTACCTAGTGGTGTCCCGTCTAGTAGCCCATGTGTTTTGATTATTTATTCTGGGTCCCGTTCTCAGGTAGATAATAGTGCGTAAATAAAAAGATTATTGTGAGGTAGGTGAGTGATATTAAAGTGAGGAGTGAATTCAATGGTCTGGAAAATTAGAAGCCGTAGAACAAGTTGACCTGTTAGATGTCTCATGGGGCAGCATCTTGACAGGAGGCTTAGCAGATTTGTGGATGTTAGGAACAAAAGCATTTAAAAAATTTAGATCTGTGCAGTAATTATTTTTTAAAACATTTTTATAGTTAATATTTTTAAATTAAAGATCTAAACTCAGGTTTAATTCTCGAGCTGTCAAAAAATGCATGCTGCTGTCCCACAGATCGGAGCGATTTACATTTGTGACCACTACCATATCTGCTGAACAGCATGCTTCCCAGGTAGGTAAAGGAGGTTACAGATATGTCCCATTTATGCCGACTGTTGTCGGTTGTTTTTGCTGTTACTGTTGGCCAGGAATCTTCATCACCTACCTCTCTTTCCTCTATGTTCACCTGAAGTCCTATCTTTGATGCTTCTTCTGCCAACTTGTTGCTTTTCGCTCGCATGTCTTCCAGTTTGTGGGGAGTCAGACATAGGTCATCGGCGAAGTCCAGATCCTCCACGTTTTTGTGTGGGTCCATTTAATGCCTGTTTCCTCACTGACCGCTGTCTATCACATTATCCAGTCTACCACAATCAGGAAAATCATTGGAGGTAGTAGGCAGCCCTGTCTTACTCCCGCCTTCACTTCGAAGGATTCCGTAAGTTTCACACTGTGGTTTGCTTAGCATGCAGCATTATCGTGCAACTGTTGGATGAGGTGTATATTTGTTGGTAGCACCCCGTAGGGGCAAAGTAGATTCCAAATCACCTCTCCATCGGCGCTATCGAAGGCCTCTCCGAATTTGATGAAGTTGAGATAGGGAGCTAACTGTTATTCCAAGCTTTGTTCAATGATGATCCGTAGGGTTGCAATCTGATAGATGCATGACTTGTTTCTCCAGAATCCAACCTGTTGCAGTCGAAGTTTTTCATCCATGGAGTGTTTGACTCTCTCCAGGATGTTGCAGCTTAGTATTTTGCTTGGGATGGACAGGAGCGCAATGCCACGCCAGTTCTTGCACTGACTTAAGTCTCCTTTCTTCGGCAGTTTGAATAATTAGCCTTTCTTCCAATCCGCAGGTACCTTGCCTTTTTTCCACACCTTCTCCAGTAGTAGTGTCATCAAGTCCGCTGATCTCTTGAGGTCCATTTTCAATGCTTCCGCTGGGATTCTGTCTGGTCTTGCTGCTTTTCCAGTTTTTAGCATCTTTGTGGCCTTCACGACTTCTTCATCCGGCTGGAGGTTGGTATCACCTGGTATTCCTACTTCCACTGTTGGTATTATTGAGCACATTGTAGGTGGCGGTCGATTAAGAAGTCTTTTGAAGTATTCAGCCCAGTGTTTCCTTTGCTCCGCCTCTTTGACGTTTAACTCTACATTGTCATCCTTCACCGGCTTGATTTGTGTTGATCTCTTCCCAAATAGGAACTTAGTTGCTTGGTAGAGCGTTATCCCCTTTGCCTGCGGCTTGTTCTGATTTACCTGCCATAGCATCTTAATATTGTCTTTTGTCTTCCTCAGCACTTTTCTGTACTCTTTTGTTCAGTGTATTGTAGCTTGCATTCAACTCCTGTTTTAGTTGTTCGTCGATGCACTTGATAATCTTTTGTTTCACCATCCCTCTCTCTTCTATCAGTCTCCAAGTGTCCGTAGTGAGCCACCGTTTGTCCTGTCTCTTTTTTCTGCCTAGAACTTCAGTGCAGGTTTGACTCCACACTGCTTTCAGGCTATTCCAGTGTTTTTCAACGCTGGTCTCTTCGCTACTGTTGACTTGTGTCTCTGCCTTTTTCCTTATGATTGCAGTGAAGATATCCTTTGTATCCTGATCCTTCAGTTTTGAGTATTTAACTTGGCTCCTGTTACCTTGAACGTTTTTAACTTGATTCGGAGTGTTCGTTGCACAAGATAGTGGTCTGAGACAACGTCTGCTCCTCTTCTAACTTTTGTGTCCAGTAAGCCTCGTCTCCACTTCCTTAAGCAGCACTTACAAAAAGTCATTTTGAATTTTGGTTCGCCCGTTTGAGGACACCTTGTAGCCCCGTGAATATTCTTGTGCTTGCATACGTTGCAGCCAATCACTGGTGCATTGAAGGCACAGAAGTCAGAGAAGAGTTCTCCGTTTTTGTTCACCTCTCCAAGAGCTTTTCTACCCATAATGAAATCTCTTCCTGTGCTTTCTGGTCTCAGTTTGGCGTTCCTGTCTCCCATCAGGATTTTAATGTTACTGATTGAAGTATTGTCCATTGTTGCCCTTAGAACTCTTCTTCCTGTTCTAGGTCTGCGTTGTTTGAGGGTGCATAGCATCGTATAGCTGTCACTTTCCTTCCTTTTGAGTTTAGATTGGCGGTCATTATCCTGGGCGAGATCGCCTCTCATTGTATCAAGGCTTTGTTACCGTTGGTGACACCATGATAGCTACACCCTCGGTGTGCTCGTGGTTGTTTTCTGGAGTAGATCACTGACTCTCCCGTTGAAAATTTGGTGAGTCCAATCCCATTCCATCTGCTTTCATATATTACCAATACCTCAGCACCACATCTCTTCATCTTAACTGCAATCTGGGCAGCTTTGTTAGTCTCATACATAGTGCAGACGTTCCATGTCCCCACACAGACTTTTTCTTTTGTCGCAAGGAGACTCATAGTACTGAAGTTCCTGTACCAGTTTTGTTTACACAGTGAGGTTGCTAGCCTTACGCCTAGGAAGGGAGTTGTTAAATGGAGATGTAAGTTAGAGAGGGGCGACGTTTTGTGTTGCTCCTTTTCCAATCAGGAAAATAAATAAAGCAATCAGAACAAAGACAACAACAATAACCGTAGCAGAAATATCACTGTTAAATACAATTACCAAAAATGAAACGTAAACCACAGAATTGCTGATTTGGGTCAACTTTGGACATGTAAATCCAATAATACATACAATTATAGATATCAATAAGTGTTAAACAGCCACAAAATGGAGAATAATTAGTTATGAGTATTAATAATCAAGAGGACTATATCTGCAGGATCAGTGTTCGAAAGTAAACGAATTATAATAAATTCTACAACTTCCTGTCTAGAAACACCAGAGAAATGAGAGTTTTATGTAAATAAGTAAATGTAACCCACAAACCGAAAAGCGCGTCAAGGTCCTTTCAATTCAGTGAAAAGGGAATATTTCACAATGACTTGTCGAATAGCATTAGTTCAGCGAAATATTTATGATAAAAGTAGCATCACATAGTGACTATTTGTAAAAGAATGGAATTCGATACCGAATTTCGTATCAGTCAATGTATGAGCATAAAGGTTTTACTTCTGTAGGTCATTTGGCTGCGCCTAGTTAGAACACTTCAGAGATGCCTGCCAAACGGCGGTTCACCTCTCGTTTTCCCACGGTATGTTTATAATCCCTAAGTATAGTTTACACCAATGTAATTTATTTGTGTTAAATCACCCAAATTTTTTTCAGACAAGGATAAAGAAAATCATGCAACTGGATGAAGAAATCGGAAAACTAACTGCTACTGTACCTCCAGTTGTTTGTAAGCGTATTCGTAGTGTAGTTTATCCAAATTTTAGCACGTTCTCTTGAGTTGTTTCTTGAACAGCTGTTAAATCAAGCGTACCAGTTCACGTCAACGCGGAGTTCGAAGACAATTAGTCCTGGGATTATGTAAATTTCATAGTAGTTTAACTCAGTATTTTGCAGCAAATATGTCATTGAGAATGAACCTCGATTTGCTTTCCTCCGATCCCTTGTTGCGGATATTCCTGAATTGAAGCCTAACAGTCGGAAACCAAGCAATTCTAAAAGCAATATCGACTCGGATGCACAGTCAGAAAGCAGTGATGCCTCTTTATCAGGTGTTGATGAACCTCCTCCCAGGATCTTGTCTTCAAATACGAAAAAGTCAGCTCGACAAAAACGTCGACAGTCGCCATGCTCCCAAAACGTTAATAAGCGCATGCCTTCTTTGGATGGAAATCCAGGTTCATTAGCACAAGATCTTGGCTCTTCAGTGGATTTAATGTCAGCAAATAAAGCCAGTAAGGTCCGCAGAAATGGTAAAAGCGTCAGTAATTCAGAGACTAGTTCCGTTTCATTTGACAGTTCTAGTGTTCGTAATGAAGGTCTAGTCGATTGTCGATATACCGAAGCATAGTATGCCTGTTAAAGGTACTTGTAATTATCACCTTTGTTTAAATACCCATTTGAAATATCTTGTTTGTTCTGTCATTGTATCAAATCCTAGAATCCTCACTGTACAGAAAAAACCCCATTGTTTAACTATTCAGAAATGTTAAATATATGTTCTTATCACAATTGTTTACCATGTGTTACATGACTTGAGGTGACGTCCCTTATTCTTTCGCAAAGTGGTATGTTTCCTGAGGCACTTCTTTTGCTGTGTCAAAGCCCTGAAGCTTCTGAGATTTAAGGGGGTACTTCTTTCGACGTAATACGAATTCCTCACACAAGTGGCGTGGCAAATAAAAGTTTTACAAAGTAAGTGTAATGCGAATGTCTTGATTTTTTTCTGTAACGAGGGATTGCATTGTATTTTAACACAAGTTTCTTAGTAACTAGGTGTTCTAACATTTGAAACTCAGTATTAAAGATATTTATAATGCCTAAAAGAAGTCAGAGTAGTGATTCCTGATAAGCGAAGATTTGTATAAGTGAAACCCTACCTATAGTATTCACTGACCTTGATCATAACATATCTAGTTCGAGCAGTCACATCAATCTAGAGTAGTGTGACTAAACCGAATACATTTAAGACGCGACAAGTTTTTGTGTGTTATTGATAGCTTCAGTGGGGAAAATAGAAAAAGACCCCAGACTGATAGTATCTTTTTAAAGCATATTTACATTTTAATGACTAGCCTAAGGCGATTTATTATGGTGTTCAGTCTTGGACTCTTATGTATAAGAGCTGTTGTATTCAATAGACTTAATTCTGATTATAACAGCTGCATTTCCATCATTACCTTGTGGTTTCTACTCTGTAAGGTTGAAATTAGGTTGGTCAGTGAATTGTACAGAAATATAGTTGGGAGCCATCTTCTGACAAAAAACAAGATAAATTTTTGTATTTGTCAGTAAAGTACTACGATATGTGTAGTTCACACATTCTAAATATTCAATGTCATATAGTTGTTTATGAAGATACAAGTAAAATTGACCACTATAATGTGATGTATAGTATGAACTAAGTGCTGCTTCCTGTTATGCTTGTCGTAATGTTGGTGTATCAAAATATAATTACCGAATAATGGTTAACCTCAGCATTATATCTGCACTGTTGATAGCAGTACCCAAGTGAGTGGGATTTAATTACATTTTCTCAAAAGGAATAAATTGGAGAAATGTATCACTAATTTATGTCAAAAGTGTGATAACGTTTCGCAAATTTGAAATTCAATCTAAGAGTGTCCAGAAATGCTTTTTACTTACTGGTGTTTGCTGGTTGAGTTTTCACTGTTCTACATTGAAAATTCAGTCACTCCCTGGTGTCGGTCAGTTTCAATTTACCCTTACGAACTTCCCACTTCGTATATGTCAAAAAAGACATTCCTGCCTATATCCTGTTGTATATTCTAGTGCAGTTCGTATTAGTGTTAACAATGTCATCTTTATTTTGAAAACCCTGTCAGAACTGTACTTGTGAGACCACAGTCAAGCATCGGTCATCCGTTTATATAATTTTAGTCGACCAACTTTATGGGAAACGATAATTTTATCTTTGACTTTAGTTCACTTCGAAATTAGTTCATATTCACTTGCAAGCTATAAGTCCCGCTATAAATACCGTTTTTCTGTGACATGTTTCTATATCATAGTGATAATTTGGGCGTCGATCTCTTGCTACCTCAACTTTGTATTCTTTTCAAGTATCTTTCTTACCCAAGTACAGCAAAAAATCACAGAGTTTATGCTAATTTATTTTATAAATAGTGATAAGTTATTGAATAAGCTGCCTCTAATACCTTTTTAATTTTCGCAATCATCAGTATTGACTCTATTCAGTACAGACTCAAATTGGCGTCAAGTATGGCTAATAACAGTATGTTTTTGATGCTGCATTTTATTGTATGCGTATGTCAATGAAATCTACAACAGTTAATCTAAGCCACGTAGGAAGGTGTAGACCTCCTGGTTGGGGTCCTCGGGACGGTAAAAACCAATGGTTGGAAACAATTGGTGACATGGCTCAAAATCGTTCTGAATGGCGCAGATGCATCCACTCCTTGTGACTTATGATTTTCAATTAAACTGTTTTGTTCTTCGTTATTACTATACCTTTGTCTCACACCTCTGTTTACTGTCTCTAATATACATTTCTCCTACTTTCTTCTCTTGCTTTGTGTGCTACATGGAGTGTAGCGACTTGAACTGCCGCACATATGTGCAAAGTTCTATGTCGAAAACAGACAGACATTGTATGCGTATGTAAATATGACTCATCTTGTGTGTATTGTGTCTTCCTTTTCTTTCACGGCAAGCTTTCTAAGATAACTGATGATAATAAACCCCTTTTAGGGAATGCATTGTATTTGTAAGTGTTCTGGCCGAGTTTTTGCATATCGTTCTTTGATGAGTAGCCAGATACGAAACCCACCCCATAGATGCTGTGAATTAGGGAATCTTGAACGGGCGTTTCTCCTTTGTTTTGAAATTTGTTATTAACTGATCCATTAGAGCTGATACACTTAGTCACCCCACTAAGGCATTCGACACTTTCAACCACTTTATTGCATATGCTTAGGCTGAGGTGGTGTAAATCATTTCTATGGCATCATTTTAAGCTTGATATGGACATGGTAAGTGTTAAATATAGTGCAATTTTCGCTGATATCATTTAGTGGGATTTTGTTAGCGTTCTCACCTAACAGAGCTGTATATCCCGCGCGTGCTGAAAATCAATTTCTAGGTCGTCCAAGTGAAAAAAATCACTTTCACTGCACATCTAAAGGAGCTAATTAAAAGTGGTGACATTCGGCATCTGTCGTAAACACTGTTGGTTGTAACTTTCGGGTAACAAATACGTAATACAGAAAGCGCTAATAGGGTAGGAACTGAAGAACAATTAGATAAGTAGGTTGCGTGACGTAATATCTATGGTGGGATTAAGTAGAGCTCATATAAAATTGGAAGAAAGCCAAGTTGAGAACAGTAATAATGAGAAGTAGAAATGTAATAGGGGGGAATCAAGAGCATAATATAATTAAAAAACAAAAAATTACGTATCCGGTGTCAAGACGGATTAGGTCCTTTGTAGGTCCAGTGACTGAACTAAAGCTTCATTTAGCTGTCTCTATAACTGTCGCACTGAAGAATATTGAGCGTCTTTTACTACATGCATCAGTGGCATTTGTGTCATTATTAGACCATTGCTACTTTGCTTTTGTAAAGACCAGTTATCTAAATATAGTTAACGCAATAGGACCGCCTGCGTGTAGTGAGGTCATGTGAGCAATACCGGGACTAGTAGTTTGATACAGAAACAAGTCAATTGTTGAGGCTGACCAGACATGCTGCCGAATTGATTTGAATTGTGTTGAAAGGTAGCTAAAGACTGCCATAAGTATTTCACTGATACATGAAATTAATGAGTGATATATAAATGTATAGGTTACATAAATGAGATCTGTAAGGCCACGTGAATCGTTAACCAGAGGTCCTAAATACGATAACTCAAAGTCGATCGTATTAGTACAGATGCATTCTTTATCTTCTCTTTCATTAAATTTTACTCAATACGCAGCTTGGACCATTACCCTGTAATGCGCGATTCAATATGAGGTTTATATTAGGAGATGTCCTTGTTTGTCATTGTCTTATCAAAGTCCCATGAAGCTGTTCATTGTCTCACCGTTGTTTTTGTTAAGAGGTATATTGATTCACATGTTTCAGTATGAGTAATTAGTTTCCATGTTTTCTTTGTTGTACATATGGTTATTCCGTCCCTACAGTAAATATTTCTGTAATTAACGCAGTGCATTTTAGTTGTATCTTAAATTTATTTTCTGCTTTTGTGTTTGGACCACAAGTTACGTCTGTATAATTATCAAGTAGCTAACCAAATATTCATCTAGTCGTGACAACGTTCCCTATTTCGTTTACAGTAGAAATAGTGGTAAATGTGGTGACCGAAATCAAACTTTTGTGATATTTAGTGATTCTCTTCACTTTCAGAAAAACTAACTGCTCTCCAAAGAATTCTAATTGGGTGTCAACGTGGTGAGAATCTAAAATAACTTGAGTCTAATTAACTACTTTCCAGTTGCTTATCTATTCTCACATTGAGTTGACTGGGAACATTAAGTCTTCAGTCCTCATCAATGTTAAGGTGTATTGACAGATAGACAAGTAGTAAATTAATATTGGTAAAGTTCTGGTTGAAAGACTCACTTTAAAGAGAACCTCATTATGGATAAAATTTTATTTTGGTAAAATCACACGTTGCTATACAGTAATAGTTACTGACGACGTTTCAAACACCTGCAATGTATGCGACAACCATAGGGATATTAGGGGATTATTTCAGTTTAAAGCTCAAGGAGATAAAGTGTAATAAGATGGTTCGTAGGTACACTCCTGTAGGTCGTGGGAATTTCGAGGCTGGGCTGAGGGATCAACAGGCATTGTAAGGTTCAGTATGACTGCCTAGTTTCTCTACTCCAACTTAACCAACGATTACATTCTTGAAACAACTTTCATTGAACTGCATCATGTGCTGTGGCAGTTATCGAGAGGAAGACTACTCTACTTTGACCATGCAGACAATATTATCTTAATTAAAGTCTAAAGGAATCCCATTTAGTCGGTTGAAAATGAATGTCAGTAGTTCTGGTATTTACTCTGTTCTATAGGAATACAAAATACTTCACGAGATGGAGCCATCAGGATAAGCACATTGCTTGTGGACCTGAGTAGTCTTGTGAGTACTAGTGGTAATATAACTTGGGGTCTTCAGTCGTCTGCATGTGTAAATTTGTGTTACATCTTCATGATAGCGTTAGTTCGACTCACATGAGATCGATGCGCACAGTTCTAGTTTGCATATCGGAAAATGGTCTTTACAGGCTGATGTCTGAAAATGTTATCTTTCTACAATTTTCGACTTTGGATTGTTTTTATGCTGTAGGAGCTTCATATAAGTAATTTTGAGGTTCGATAGTGTAAATCTAAGAATGACTCAGATCTTCATCAAAGAAGAGATTTAATTGGGTCGCTTCTTTAGATGGCTTTGATGAATGTGCTTGTGATACAGGTTGAAGCGAAAATACCTGTAATTGATGGTCAACCAGTTTCATTAATGTGTGTTGGCGCCTCATATCTTACCGAGCAGGTTTCCACGAGTGATGCTATTACATGTATGTGAACGCTATCAGAGATGTTTCGGAGTCAATATCATTAGCTATATTCTCCAGTTTCTTGCTTGTTATATTGTTCAAAAGTGATGAAAGGTGTTTTGGATGTATATAACTTGTGTTATTCCTGTACCACACTCTTTGTCTTTTCTACCATTGTTGTTATACTATTGTGTGGATCATGTTTGCAGCACTGTACGAAATTTGTGTCTTGAATAAATAAAATATTTTATCATATTACGCTAATGCAAATATCTATCCTTTTCCATCTAAAAATCAACACGTAGGTGAGTACAATTAAAGCTCTTTACATCTTTCAAATAGATTTATGGATTGTTGCATTGAAGGTTTATTTTTCTTTGTTTGTTTAGGGTGAGCTCTTATTAGAAAGTGCCTAGTGCCTAGTTGTACTTTACGTACCAATATCTACCTGTATTAGCTTGTTTTGACTATTTTAAATTGCCGATACACTAGATTTCACATAGACCCTATTGGCCAATCATCTGTTTGTTTGTACAATAATTAACCTTATGCTGATGACAATTATTTTTCTTTCAAATGTATGAAATATGATTCATGTGCTGGAAAAGAAGTAGATATCAATTTTCTTTCTACTGAATCGGAAGATTTTTAATTTGTCTCACCTCCTCGTTGTTTTTTTAAAGTTGGAAGAAGAGGCGGACAGCGAAAACAGGACTTCAGGTGAACATAATGAAGATACCTAACCACCACCGACAAACATTCATCACCACCAGCACGAGAAATTCGAGAAAAGTCACTTCCTTCACTTATCTAGGAATCATCTTTTCAACTACAGGCGGCATAAATGAAGATATCAAAGCCAGCTAACAAGCTAGCCAGCCAAGATCGGAAAAGCAAGATAGACCTACATTAATCGAAAATCGGTGTGACAATCTGGTTCATTCGGCATTAGGAACAAGATTCGGATTTTCAACACTAATGCTAGTCAAGTCAGTTCTTCTGTATGGTTCAGTGTGCATCACAAAAAGCTTTCTCAGCAGTAAGCAGACTTTCATCAACAACTGCCTTCGTTCCATACCGAAGATCAGATGTCCGACCAGAAAGGATTAGCAACAAGGGATTGTGTCAGCGAACCAACCAAGAATCTATTTACCCAACAAATATTCAGAAGAAGATGTAGATGGATTGAACAGATACTGTGTGGAGACCTTCCAGTGACATCACGTGCTGGGCCCTTGAATGGAGGCTTAGTGGGAGACGACGAGTTGGGTGTATATCCGAGAGTGATATGGAAGAGATCATTTGAGAGGAAGTCTAAATCTTCTAGGCAGTCGTCGAGTCAGTTAAAAATGGACTGCCGAGAACACAGCATCTCTTAATTTGAATTCGTGTATTTGTATTCCTTAATAGCGCATATTGATTCCTTTCGAGTGACTTAATTTGATTGCACCATGCACCATGCTAAAATTCTTTCGTATTGAATAAATATTTACATTTTACATTTTTAAATCATTGATATAAACATATTCCTACCTTTAAGGACACTATCTGTTTTTTGGGCGTTATTTTTTTATAAGGTAAACGTGTCAAAGTTTGCTTACAACAACTGTTCACTTATCTCACTGACACAATAGGTAACTGAGAGTTCGTTTTTTTTTCTAATGGATCAAATGAACGGAAAATATTTCTTGATATAGCTATCCACGTATACGTTATATACTACTTTTCTCATTATCATGAAGTCTTACTTCTCACTGTGTACAGATTTCTCATTAAATAAAAAAAAATAAAGCAGTATTAAGAGTTATTGAATTAGGAGTGATCACTTTAACCTTAATAATATTAGTTATTTTCGGGTCGTATTGTGAAAACGCCTTATTATTATTAGTGTGAATATGTTAACCTTGATTATTGACTTACTGTTTAATTATTGACATATACGTGTGTTTGTGTGTGTGCTTTCGACTTTTTTAATCATTGATCATTTTCAAGTAAATTATGTGTTGAATACATTTCAACTTACATGTTGAAAATCGTTTCAGTAAAATTCAACACTTTGAAAAGTTCTCTGAAGATGTTTAGTTCGTGTTTTCTGAGAGAAGTGCTTGATTTCAGTTGAAGTTGTTTTCTTTGGCGGTTAGACCAAATGATTTTATGTCCATAAATGTCTACACGAAGTGGTACTATTGTTATTATTCCCTTGGGTTCCGATTGGAACATAGAGCTTCGACAGCACATCTCCATTTCAGTGTGTTCTACGCAGTCTTCTTTAGCCGGCTCAACAATTGCCCATGAGTTTTCATTTCCTCCTGACGCGATCTCCTACATGCCACCCTCGGACACACGCCAAACTCATCATTTCCTGTTCAGCCTCTACTGGACGGGTCTCGTGCTCTATGTTACTCGATGGTCTCTTCAACACCTGTCCAATTCATTTTCATTTCCTTCGGCTGACTGATTCTTGGTTGGCTTATTGTCAGAGTTGCTTGTTGCTAAGTGGAAAACCATAGAAAATCCGTGCCATATCGTTTAAATATTACCTGAAATCTATTAGTGCGCTACCTTGTTAATCAGTATAAATATTTATTATACTAACCATAGTTGTTGCAACTGTTATTATTTTAGACGTTGGTACTGTCGCGTATAACTATTTAACATCTTTGAGGAAAGCATAAAATCTAATGATAAAAAGCAGAATTATAATCTAGAGACATACTGCGTTTAAAGTAATTTTTTCAAGGTAGTCTTCATCAAGAATTGACAAAACTGATGAAACGGAGGATATTAGTTATCGAGAAATAAATAACTTCGTATTCGGTATTGACACCTGCAAGTTTAGGTCTATTTCATAAGAAATCGGAATTTTATGTTCATCAGAATAAATTCAGTCATGAGCAACGCCGGCTTTGCACTTGTGTGTTCTTAAATAGTTCCATTCTGACAGTATATTCACGATGACGAAGAATGATAACATTCAATGATTGGCTGACAAATAGCCAATAAATATTTGAAGCTTTGTGCGAATTTACTCACTAGTGACGAGTGATTTTTTCTGACCAGTGAAAGGAGTCGAAGTCTTCTAAATGATGACATATGCTGATGGGTTTGATAAAATGATTTAGAAGCAAAACAGTATTAAACAATCAAGATCTAGACAATTTATAAAATAATTGTTAGGCAGACCATTTATGAAGTACAAGTGGCAGATGAAATATTAAAACAGCTAGTGGAGACTTTGTGCAAATCAATTCAGAGAAATTTGCAACTGATTTCTGAATATAGCGAAAATATTCATTCAGACATCTAGAAAAAACAAAAATTTCCTCTTCTGGCTATTCTCTTCATGGGCCATTGGATCTGGTCCCACTGGCTTAATGGTCTACGAGCTCGCCTTGTAATCAGAAGGTCTATGTTCCAACCGAAGTGCGTGCGTACTGTGAAGAGTCCCAAACTAGGACGAAACAGCTGTCCAGTACCCCCAGGTTTTCCAATGGTTCTCTAACCGATGTCGATTCATGATGAAATTCTCCAACCGATTATATATATTATAAATTAGTTAAATTAATCCCAGCGTGTTAAGAAAATCAAAACAAACAGATAAATCTGCTGAAGAAGCTGTGGCTTACACAGCGAAACGTTCAGAAAAATCTTGTTTTGATTTTCTTAACACGCTGGGATTAATTTAAATAATTTATAATGAATCAATCTGACTCGGCGTTCAAATTATTCCAGGAAGTTCATAACACCTACGGCCTGGAAACCTATAATCCGATTATATATATGTTTATACACATATAATATCCTAGAATAGTTGTCGATAACAATATTGGTGTTTTTTAAATACTGTCGACTTGTTAAGTAAGATCAATGGAATAACAGTTCACGAAAGATGCATAAATTATAATCAGCATAAACATATAATAACAAATAGAATATCAAATAAAATTAAGGAAATTTCCGAAACAAATTGAGTATCATTAAACCTTGATGGTCAAGATAAGGAGAGTTGCTGAATGAGAACGATTATCCACAAAAATTCATAGATAAAATTATGAATCAAAAGTTAAGGCAGGCCAAAGTACCAACAGTTCCGAAAAAAGCCTTATTCTTACACCTTCAGTTCCTCGGGGATAACATCAGCGAGATATTAACAGAGCGCCTTAGAAATGCGGTAAAAAAAGCATTCAGTGCTGCTGTATGACGCTGTCTTCAAAACCACCCCTATTTTGCGTTCGGCAGTAAAAGATAAACTGCCTAATTTCGCCTCCTCTATGCGTACTTAACAGTTTTACTGCTTCTGTAGAGCTAGTTACATAAGCCGTACAATTAGGCGTGTTTCTCGTCGGATTTCCGATCACCCTGCGTGGTTAAGTAAAGGACAAACAAAATCCATTCATAGCGCTATTCTATCTCATTTTGTGGATACAGAACACAAGATTGATGTTAACGAGGTTTTCAAAGTCATTTACCGCTACCAAATAATCTTAACTTCACCTTAAGAGTTCGTCTACTACATATTGTTGAGGCTGGCTGTTGGCATCCACATTAAGAAACCTAACTTATGTATCCAAAAGATGCTGGTTCAGACATTGTCCTTACCTTGGCCATCAAGGTTTAATGATACTCAATTTGTTTCGGAAATTTCCTTAATTTTATTTGATATTCTATTTGTTATTATATGTTTATGCTGATTATAATTTATGCATCTTTCGTGAACTGTTATTCCATTGATCTTACTTAACAAGTCGACAGTATTTAAAAAACACCAATATTGTTATCGACAACTATTCTAGAATATTCTATGTGTATAAACATATATATATATATAATTGAAGAGCCAGAAGAGGAATTATCGAAAAGGATATTCTTTGCTCAATTTTTTCGATTTGTGAATGTTTCTCATTTATTTATCACTATTGTTGTTCTCTTGAGTTCTGAGTGCGATACAGGATTTCGGCAGCCCATTTCCACTTCGCTGCAGTCATTTTTACCTGGACCCACAATTGACCACAAACTTTAATTTCCTCCTCCATGTCACTCACGTCTTTTCATTTATTCAGATGCTGTTTGGGGAATCCTGTGCACTAATACACAATCAGAGAATTCTGAAAAAAAAACTGTAGAGATAAATTTCATCAGACATTGATCACTTCAATTCAGTTAGTCGGTGGGAACAAATTAGAGGCTCCACTCGTCCGAAGTACACTGGCCTTAAAGTTTTTTGCGCAACTTATTTTCTTCATTTCAAAAAAGCTGTTTATAGCACTAGTTGGAGAATGTTAGTCAGTTGAAACACCTTTTCAAAGTTTCATTTTCACATAACGCTGAAATATTGTCAGACAAATACAAATATTATTTTGCATAATTTTGTATCTTTAAAATTTAAGATTAATTAAATTCATAAATGATATGAGTGTTTTGTTTTTGAAATTAACGTTGTTGATAGTTGACCATAAATTTAAAGCATGGATTAGATTGGTGGTTGTATGAATTCCAGTTTCATCAATATTTTTGTTTCTGCAATAAATTATTAAGTTGATAATTTTGAAAGTCAGATAAAACGCAACGTGGAAAAAAATTAAATGTAGCCTTAAAAAGCAAATACTACTTTAATTAAGTGAGTAAGAGGTTACGAGAAAGGGTTTAAAAGAATGTTTCTTTGTCTCATACATTTAGTGTATCTAAATATCAAGTCAAGTGGTGATTTATTTATTCAAGACATGACACACTATAATAATGTGGACAGATTCGAGCTTTATGATTGGTTCTTGGTAGAAAATTTAAGTATTAGAGAGTTCAAAAAGTGTACAAAAAAACAACTCTGAAAAGAGTTTATACTTGTTACAACATTCTTTGTTTAGCGCTTTTCACTTAGATTTCTTCAGAACCCACAGTTCTGTTTTCA